TGTTTCACTGTAACTGCCCACAACACAACATCTAAAAACTCTCTCTCAAAAAAAAAAAAATAGACAAAAAACAAGAAAAAATGCCGACCGAAAAATGTATATCGTTTAAAAGTATACTGAACGACCAGTGTTATTACGGCTCAGGGGTATGACTTCCTCTCAAATTTTGTCATTTGGTGGCGCACTTTCGGCGAGAGTCGGAAATCCGGAAACAGTCGACCGTTTCAAGATAGGTGGGCGTGGCTACAACACGTGAAATATCCCAAATTTACTTGGATACGAGTAATCATTTTCAGCAAAAAAATCAATAACTACCCTTTTCAGTGGGACACAGATCTAAAAAGGGAAACGTAAGGGTGGGCATTGCACAGGCACTTAAAAGGAGGTTTGATTACAATTTAAATTTTTTAATTTATTTTTCACGAATGCATGAAACCTAGAAACAGATGAGCGCCCTCTATAAACAGCAACAAATATTTGTTGTTAGAAACACAGATGTTTTTCAATTAACTTAATCACAACATTTCATTTTATTAACTTGAATACAGTAACAAATCCGACTGCCAGATCTCATACTGAGGTGATATTAACAGACTGTATGACATACCTTACTCATTTCAGAGTTGTCCTCTTTTGAGATTGGTTTGTTTCCACAAGTGTCTTTTTTTTCTGCTATGCGCCCTCGGGGAGTTTTAGAATCAGTACTTACAATTTCATCATCTGGAAGAAAACAATGTTACAACAGTCAATTTGATTGGCTAATATATTTTTATTCCTGTCAGCCAATCAGAGGTTAGATGTCATAATGTGATAGTCATCATGTGTCTGTTTGATGAGAGTTCCCATGTGATATAACATGCATTATAAACATCGTTTCGCAAAATTTGAAATTTTTACAGCACAACAACAATTGCCGACTGAAGTCTAAGGTTTCACTGTTTTTCAACAAATCCAAGCAAACTTTTGAGATACTAGTTTGCAATTGTTTGATATGAGGTTGGAAACATTTCATTTTGAATACATTCATGTAGTTGACATGTACGTTAATATAAACTTGTTACCACGGTGATACTACATGTAACCTTTGACCTTACCTAGATCTAAGAATTACAATTTGACTTGCCTTAAGCCTATCTATGAGACATTAGAGTCTTAGAGTTCACTGCAGTTTAATAAGGGAATAAAAGATGATGTACTGTCTATTATTACATGATAACTGGAACAGGAATGTACATAATAAGGCGTTTCGCCCATTATTTGAGCAAACATCTTTGTCTGTTGTAATGCAATATTGGGCAGTAAGGAGCCCTTTACCAATGAAATGTCCAAAAAATTGCATATCCAAGAAATGAGGATTTTGACAGTCTGGTAAGAGCCTTATTATCTCTTGTATGCCAGTTACGCATTAAAATAAAGATGCATGAAATATGTGTTCAAATTCTACTTTCCACCAAAACATTGAGCAATCAACCCAAGGGACTGACACATAGGCCTTCAAGATAATTTTGTTGAAAAATGTCCAAAAAGCAAATATTGACTAAACAGGTTGCCTAGGTAATGTGATCAGACAAGCAGAAAGCAAAATTACAACACAGTTAAAGTAAACATTTGTTTAAATAATAGAAGGGGAATGTATGGCTTCTTTTGATGAGATTAAACTGCTCACAAATTACTAGATAGAAAAGACTTACATAGTTGAATTATTTATTTACAACTCTTAGAAAGATGGATTTTGCTGCCACATATTTACAAATTTTTTAATAATGGGTAATTATGGACAAAATGGACATAATTTACGATTGATTTGACGAAAATTGTTGGAAAAATTAGGCGGGATTATTTTGGTCAAATGATAAACTAATAAGGTTTACAGGAATCATAGTGTATATTATTGTAAAAGATTTGGTTAGAATTTATTTTCGCTTGAAGGGATAGATGTTTCTGTGAAAATAAAACTTTTTTGTCTATATTTTACATTCAAAAATCAGTGAAAATAAATTCCATACAAAACCGTCAAATATTCTTTTCAGTTCAATACAGCGTATTTTACAGTAATATGGAATTTATGGAGAAGCATTTTCCTTCAATCTGTATTTTACAGAAAACCCTCAAAAAATTAAGAAAAAGGTTAAAATAGAATATTATATCAAAAACATAAATTAAAAAAACAAATATTATAGGCTGATCTTAAGATGACAACAAACAAAAATTTCCTATAGTTGCATGCATCAAAAATAGCACATAATTATACAGAAAAACAGGAATACAAAAATGGTGCAAATTTTCCTCACAAAAATAAATCCATTTAAACAATTCAAATTAAGGAATCCATTTTACAAGAGGATAAACTCTTTTACAGCTGGGACCACCGGTTTATGCTAATTACTAATTACACAACCCTTTCACATGCATTAAGAAAACAGGCCAAATAATAAGAAGTTTTCAAGCTTACAGATTATTTTCAGAATCTTTCGACATAACTCGGGCGGAATATTTGTCTAATGTTTCTGCCACAGCTTGTCCTGACTAATTCCCACACCTGTGACAGTTGTTGCACTTTTTATTTTATCCAAATATTCAGTAAGGTCATAAAACTGATAGAAATGAAACAGAGAACACAGTAGGGACAACGATAGATAGAAGGGGAACTGTTATTGGACAAGATTTGTAACAAGGCAGGATACAACCAATGGAGAAAGAGTGCACATACTCATTTTGACTAATACTACCGTCAATATTGATAACTATTAAGACAAGTCAAAAAGATTTATCACCACAAACATATTAGAGGCAGAACAAATAAATTCAAATATTACAGGAGTACTATAAATTATAAACAACAATGAAATACTTTGCGAGAAATAATTTTCACTGAAAATACTTTTTGTGCGTTTTGTATGGCATTTTTCACTGATTTTTGACAAGTTGAATGTAAAATACAAGAAAAAAGGTATATTCAGTGGATTTTTTCACTGAATCTCTCCTTCAGTGAAAATAAATTCCAAGCTGAAATAAATATTTTACAGTTGTTTAAATGCTGAACAAAAGTACTGTACTAAAGCCTCAAATTAGACCAATTAAACCACACTCAATGCCCCTATAGCATAATGGAATGTTCCACACTCACAGTTGCCATAGTGACCATCAATTATTAATCATCAGGGATTTTCATATTGTGTTTGTAGATATAACACGGTTCATTACCCGATCCATTGTCTGACAATTCTTTTCTAATTGCATTCTCATTGTAGGACAGACGGGTTTAAAAAAAAAAAAAAAAAAAAAAGAAACAAGAGGGATTTCTAGTCGATTACAGATTACTTAGTTTCAAATAAAAATATCAGCAATGGTGGTTCAGTTTATTTTCATCAACCAAAGAGAATACTCTGACATCTGACTTTTAATACGAAAAGAGCAGAATCCAAAAAAAAATATATATAACGGGGATTACATGTCCATGACACACAGATAGCATTTTAAAGATGCATTATTTAACGCCAGTTGTTACTTTCAATGACATTTTAAAATTTTTGACACACAACCTTTGGCTTGACGATTTAGAATAACTGATTTTTTTTAAAAAGCTAGGGAGTATCACAATCCAGAGATTTTGTATTCCCTAGCATGTGCAAAATCTTAATACCTGGAAAAAAAACACAAACTTTTAATAACAAATCTATACCAGTTTTTATTCACCACAAAAGTATATTCAGAAGATTAGAGCATTGTCTGACCTTTCACCTTTAATGACCCACGCTAAAAACTAGGGGCTTATTTATCGTCAATTGCTATTTTAAGTAATGTAGCAAACAGAAGTTAAAAAGATATATGTCAACATTAAATATTTATATTTTGTCTGTAGTTCATTTTCCATATTGAAGGAATGACTACTATTTGTATTTGGAAATAAAAAACTGTGAAAATGAAATGCATTATGGGATATTTAGCTGAATTTATCCAATGAACAGTTACCATATTTAGCTTTAAAATGGTTAGCAAATTTTCAGTATTTTTTCATCACTTTCGACAATTTTGTTCTTAGACGACATGCAATATTAATATTTACTTGTCATTTTGTTCAAATTGGGTAGAATTTTTAGTTTTTCTCAAAAGAAGCAGGCATATTTCATACTATTGTAAAAAGAAAGTTGACAATGGCGATGACAAGCATCAGGAGAAGAGCTACCAAACAATGTAGAACTAATTTGAATACTAACAATAAAGATCTGAAAAAGAAGGGCCATACATGAGCTGACAACAATGACACAGTTTGTAATGTTAAATTAATCTGTTTAAAGGCTTCACCACCATTGACAACTATCATAACACGACATAATGCAGTCCTCCATTTGGTCTTCCTATGTCCACAAAATATATTAAGTAAAATAATGTTGGTTAAAAATGATAATTTGTCAGTTTTTGTTCATTTAATTTTAGAGAAATTCCAGAAAATATTCAAAAATTTGATCACAACCTGTAAAGCAATATACAATGTGAAATTCTGTTTGATCTGAAATTAACATTTGAAAAAATTTATATTGAAATTTGCGCAGGGGAACAACTGGCATTGCATGTGAGAACAAGATTGGTTGTCATAGGAACACAGGCACTGCTGAATCAGTGTACATACATTAACTGAACTGTCTAGATTAGGGTTTTCCTAGGATTTTGATCAGAAGGCTCGATCAAAAATGCAGAAGAGTAAAAATTTTTAAATCAGTATTTACAAAACTTGTTGGCTAATGAGCCATTATGGACATGAGCAGAAAGGTAACTATTAAACCGGTAAACAAACAAGGAAATAGAAGCAAACATTTCAAAAATGGTTTTTGCATCTTGTTAGAAACCAAATTTGGAAAGTTTTTGTATTTTATTATTAAGATGAAAATAATAACTGATAGGTACGTTGGATTTCAAATGTATATTTCACGAACATGTCTGAACCAGCGTTATATGGCATCCAATACAAAGAAGTATGCGCAATGTACAAGGCTAAATTTTAATTCCAATAAGTGCCTCCCACCTAAATATTGACAAAGACACATTATTGTAAAGTATGATGTAGGGCAGTATATTTTTTCAACCATGGGTTAGGTATGAGGTAGATCAATATTTGGCAAAATACGACTCGCTCAAAATAGTGAATTGTGAAATTTACAATAGTTCACACCATGGGAAAAACAGACTGAATCGATACAATAATGTCAGTTGTTTTCAAGATATTTGTTTTCAACAATTTTAGCAAGTTTGCTCTCGAGTTACTTTTTGCAGTCTCAAAATACAATGCATTAAAATTGTAAATTCTAAATTGTCTATCATCAGATGTCGATAAAATTCAAATTGCAACAACAATTGGATAACATTTTTGATAACAGTCACCATTCCATACCTGAACTATGTCTAGGAATAAAAAAAAGTACTGTAGATACAATCGACATCGTAATTTTAAAAAAAGTTTTCTAAAATAAATATTGAAGCATTGTAAATCTTTTCAAAAAGAAAATGCAAAAAATGCAGAGGTCAAATAATAAAATATTTGATTAATGAGAGCTCTGTTGAAAATACTATGGAAATACTCAGCTAAGCCCCTCAGACGAGTCATCCACCCCATTGATTGAATGGTATCTCCTTTTCTTTATGCAATGTTATGTTCCGATTTTGCAATTCAATGACTATATAGTTGTCTTTGCAACTAAGATAAATTTGAAAATCGGGTTAGT